ACGAACCACGACTTCGCCCTCAGACCTTGAGTAGCTGTTTTTAGTCTCATCGTTCTCCAATGGACCTGCCTCGCATGGTAAAACCTACAGGAACATATGTTCCAGTCAATATAACTCGGTTGGTGTCATCAGGATAGGCAAGCTCGACCACCAGGTCAAGGTAACAGCTACGGTCGGGACGTAAGACCTTATACTAATACTTATATATAGGTAATACAATCCAATATAAATTTATTATCATATAACTAACCGACAATAGATCATGCTAACAATATACGCCTGATTTATTAAAGATGGTAATCAGTAAAATTCAACAAATTTATCCTTTTTTCTAAAGCATTTAGTTTTTTTTTCCAATTTGTTCAATATTCAATTTTATCTTTACACAACTTGTTTTAATAATCCGCTTATGTAGTATTTTATTGTTTGAATTATTTCTACAAATATTATTAAATATTAGTATTGAAACATTTTGTTTAATATTAAACTTAATTGATTTCTATTGTAAATTCTTACGTAACCAGTAGTAATTATAACGAATGGATTACATTCGTTACACTGTTGAATGATATTCCTTTGTTGAGTTAATTTTATTAATTTTCTGACTAGAAGAAATTCGAATGTACACAGTGATAGTGGATTATTGTATGAATGGACTACCAATTCGATTGATTTGCTAAACTGATTGATTTGACCAGTAGTTTTTTTCTTTTAAACAGGAGGCAAAAAATTGTTACTACTATTATTATGATTGTTGTTATTCTGAATATCGCTTAATAAATGGTTGGTGAATAAAATTCTGTCTACTTCTCAAGTCTTGTTCCGCTGAAATAATTAACTGGTAACAGTTATTTCTAGAGTATAAGTGACCAACATTTAGCACAAGTTATAACATTGATCAATCCGTTTTGTTTTGAAGTCAACGCATTAAGTAATTTTGATTTAATTGAAACAGATTGCAATTTAGAATATTTAGACTGAAATTAGATCAATCTTCCTGTTTTTCACCCTTTTTGAGTGACACTGGATATTAAAGTCTTATTGTAACAGTATTAGTATTAGTAAGGCAGTCAACCACAACATATATATGTTTATTAACAGTTGTTTACGCAAAATGATTTGGATCCGTTGGCCAGACATCATCAGTAACACCTTACTGAAGTAGAGACCAAACTAGAATCCAACCGGGTAAGGAATTAGAAAAAAGCTCTTAAAATGGATAGAACACACATTGCGGAAACGGATTGACTGCATCACTAGGCCAGCTCTCACTTGGAATCCTCAAAACCAGAGGAAAAGAGGTAGATCAAGGAACATACGGCACCGAAAATGGGAGACAGACATGAAAAGAATGAACAGTAGCCGTTTAGAACTGGAAAGTAAGTCCCAGGAGAGAGTAAATTGGAGAATGCTGGTGGGCGGGCTATGCTAAATTATGGGTAATAGGCTTAATAAGGTAAGTAATAATTAGTGGTAGTAATAGAAGTCCTGTTAATGCGTCCTAATTAACACAGCACTTAAAGGAAAGGTGCAGACTATCATCAACTAGTTTCCTAAAAGATTTTTGTAAATTCAAACGAATATTGCACAGATATTGAGAAGTTTAATCAATACGAAAAAAATGACCACATAGACTTGATTCGTTATATTATTTGTTTATATAAAAATTTAAAAAAAAAAGAATTATTTTAGACAATTTTTAAAAACCATTTCATTTGTTCAACATAAATGTTTGCTGTTGAAAATTGTTTTTCAGTGTAAAATATGATTTTAGATGTAAAGAAAATTTTGAAGCAATTAACGAAAAAACATAAACTCATTTTTTTAATGAAATAACACTATCTCAAAAGTTATTACAAATTTAAGAAAGTTGAGTATATCGTCTTGATTTGATGAAAGTCATCAACATTGTTCATTCATGACTTTAAATGGCGTTCAAAGTCTTGACAATCAGATTATATAATAAAATGTGAGTAATTATATGGATGAATGTGTAAGATGACACGTAAGTTTTGCCTAAAAAAGTCAAAAACCAGTCAGTAAACAACTGTTTTATACTGTTTTATCTTCTGGTGTGATCCAAAGCTATAGAAATAACTATTTGTAACGGTTAATAGTTTCTTATTTCTGTTATTAGATATCCATCTTGATATAGTATAGTCATTATGACAGACCGACTTCTGTTCAATAATCACTGAAAATTAAAAGGTACTTTAAATCTATTTGGTCCTAGTATGAGACGTCTTCCTCATCAGTTTACTTTTACATTCTCACTGCCAAAGATGGAACACAGGACTGATAGATCTGTCAAAAAATTCATTTCATCCTACTCTGGTTGTCTTTGACAGGATTTAGGAATACAACACCAAGGTGCATTCACCTAAACTTTAGATAAATAACAACAGCTGAAACTTATTTGAAATGTAAGAAATTTAAGATTTTATTTTTAAATAAGATAACAAAAAGTATGAAAAAAAATTATTTGACTACTGAAACATGTCTAGTTTCATACTACTCTTAGAATGATACAGTAGCATAAAACTTTGACACTAAATTATTCATAACACATGATTATTGAATGCTTACCTAATTTTTTATAGCGTGGATTCGCCAAATCAATTGGTATACTATCTTTGAACCATGTGATTTCAGGTATCGGGTCACCAGTTGCTCTACATTCCAATTCAACTTCAGCATTTTTTCTTGCCACAATGACAGAAAATGAATTGAGAAATCGTGGATAACCGGGGGGCGCGTCTAAAAAGGAAAAAAAATAACATTGTGGAATTTGAAAAGAATAATTCTTTTCAAGTAACTACGTAAAATAGTTAATTTGATTCAAAAAACAATGATGTCCAACATAATTTCAAATATCCAGTCATGTATACTTAATTCAAATTAACAATCGTAAGTACATGGTAGTAGAGATCAACTGAGTTCCAATAAAATCGTTAATCGATATATGTTAGGTAAACAGAAAAAACCGATAACTGTCAACATGTGGATAAAGTTTATTTAGTGACATATGCAAAGGATTGTAAGGCAAAACTGGCAATCAAGATAAATGATCTCCGGATATTCGCTCAATGGAACCATTGAACGCATGTTAATTATTACGCTTTTTTAATTAACCGATTCACCGTTTGGATGAATGCCAATGACATGCGCCATTAAACATTACTTCATCATACAATTCCTAGTAAAAACAACATGGATTAAGGCACTTAATATTTAAAAACTTTCACTTATCATTTAAACAACACAAACACATATCAAAAAAGTGTACTAACTGGAGAGTATTTCGAAGTAAGATTTAATTAAACCATGTGTCATTTCGAATTAGAATCCATATGAAAATAATTGCTTATAGGATATAATAATTGTCTTTTTCCTAATTTTCTATGTATGCCTAATAAGCCTCCATCTCTCCCACCTTATCGACTCTCTTAACTCTCTGCGCAAATAAACATGATTGTGTCCGTAGGCTCTCTGTGAGATGAACCAATTGTTTTATGGCTAATAAATGCGATCACACAAACATCAATGATTAAGTAGCAGTATTAAAGTAGTCGAGAAAGAAAGACTAGAACTTGTTGCTTGCCGTTTAAAAGTTCAATGTTTTAAACATTGAGCTACTACTGATCCATACATATATATCAGTCAGTCTTTTTCAACGAAGAACTTCGTACGTAAGTACATCAGTTCAAGTTGCCATACCACATTAGCACAGAGATATAATTGTCAATTCAAATCCCATGATAGTAGAGGTAGTAAAAGTATTTTTGATAGAATCGGAGAGATTAGTGTTCGAAGATGTTCATCAAAAAGTATAATTCAATGAGGTCAATTTAGAAAGAGAAAGATAAAAACGATGAGGAATTCAGAAGGTGAGAATTCGAGAGAACACAAAGAGTGGATGCATCTGCACCACTGCAAACGGTTTTGAGCCATGTCATTTAAGGTCTCCAACCATCGATTAATATCATCTCGTGGGTCGAAACTATGTAGTGGACACCTACCAACCTGACTCAGTCCACTTGTCACTCAGTCGCTAATCGAGGCAGTCGGTGGTTGGCCACATATCTCAACCACCTCAACTGATGAAGTTTCATTACTTCATCTATTGACCTGCCATCCTTACCTAGCACCCGTTTCCTAACAAGATATATATATATATATATATATATATATATATATATAGAATTTAGTATTATTAAAGAAAAGCCTAGCTATTAACTACAACCATCTTATAAATATTTTCTTAGAAAATTTATAATTTTCATTTACTTTTATTAAAATATTCCATTAAAATTTTACTTAAGTACAATTGAAGCGGTATTCCATTGAATAAGTAAGTATAGAATAGAATAGTTTTCTTCAATTCAAAAAAACCGCCAATTAAATCAAAGCATAACTATTTTTTCTGCTCTTTACATTTAAAACAATCATTCAAAATTCAATTTTGAAAAAAAAAACATTCTAAACGATAATAGTAGAAAATTGAGAAAACCAATTGAAAAATTCAATTAAATTTAATTATTTTTTCTTCTTCTTGCTAGTAATAGAAACAAGCAATAATTTTTAACTTATTCATTCATTTGTCTTATTCATATAATAAATCAACTGTTTTTTCTCTTCCATTGAAATAGAAAAGCAAATTAAAAAAAAAAAACCGCAAAATGTAAAAAGGAAAAAAAATGGAATTTTTTTTTTGTTTTTTTTTTCTAAAGATGAAAATATCAATTGCAGAATCAAATTTAGACGTTACAACATATTTTGTTTTCAAATATTGGTTTATAGATTTTGTTTTATTTTGTAAATGGATGTATGTGTGTATATCACTTTGTAAGCCTTGTAATGTTAAAAGGGAATTTAAACAAAAAAAGACTCTTAATATTTTGACAATTTTAAATTCTGTACGCCTTTTATTATTTAAAATTTTTAAAATAATTAAAAGAACATAATAATAATAATATGCTTATGTACTAGTTATAATAAACAAAACAAGACAGGAAACAAGTTCATGAATATGAATGCACTTGCTCTAAGATACCAAGGATTTGCAGGCTATTTTCTATTCAGCTAATGAATGGGTGCTATATGGGAATACACAGAGTTGTTTATTGGGGATTTGATTTTAAGGCCTACATTTAACTGTATTACCTTTTCTTGACCAGTGTGTTACGATTCACAACAGTGGTATTATGAAAGAAGTTAGATATTGATTTTCAATTAGAGTTATGGAGATTAGTGCATTTACACATTTGAAATCATCAACCTTGTGGGGTGTAGGCAGTAACTACCGAAGACAAATGAGTGAGATCGCGCAAAATTTCTAGGTCAGTCAGAGTTAGACATTAACACCGTTAGATAACGGCAAAATGGTCCAATGGTTAGACGTTCGTGTACAATACTGAAGGTTCCGGGTTCGAATCCTGTCAGGTGCAGGAGTCGTGGATGCCCACTGCTGATGAGTCCCATACCCGGACGAAACGGTCGTCCAGTGCTTCCAGGTTTCTAATGGTGGTCTAACAATGATTGATTGATGATTTCAATTGTCAACTAAACAGGGAAGTTTCTCGAAAATGCTAGATATTATACTTGTTTATTGAATAGAGAAAAAAAGACGGGTAACTGTGTACAATGAAACATTTAATCTGATTGGTTAAAGTGTTAAGATCATTGAATTTAGTTTTATGACATAGTCTCATGGCATATAACCACTAAGTCTATATGAATTCTAGTAATTTCTAGCTAAAAGATTTGACCAGTAGAGTTTAACAATCACCACTAACTGACTAAGTCTTTACTATTTTTCATTATAGAACTATTTATTATTAAAATCATCAATCAACCATGGGTAGACCACTATTAGAAACCTGGAAGCACTGAACGGCAATGTCGTCCTAGTACGGCACTCATCAGCGATATGCAGTTACGACAAATTGGCCGTCCACTATTTCCAATGATTGATTCATAAGTCCATTAATAAGTTCATATTGGCTAGAATCTGTGATATGCTATCTTCTGGCTTCTTAACAACTTTACATTCAGTGAATTTAGTTACAAATCGCTTGGTAGATTTGATAAATTATTTGACCATATAGTAAGTAAGTGATGTTTGCATACAGTTAATTTATCAGTTAGTCATAAACAATATAAATCTTGGAATATAGAGTATGTTGTTTACAGTTGCTTTCGCCATATTCAACACAAACAAATCGAATTATCAAGACAAGTGTTAAAACCGAATAAAAGCTTATTCATATTAGATTGAATTCATCGTAGACTGTTAGATAATGTAACAACTAAAGAAGAAAATGAATACTATTATGAACCAATTCCGAATTATGTTATTCACTAACTTGCGACTAATATTGTGGACTAAAACCAGATGTTCTGCATTCAATTATATACAGTTCAATTCAGTTGACAATGTTGAATAAATGCTTCGTTTTAACCTAACCATCTTTAACTTTCTTTCAACCGAACCTTACATCAGCCAGTATCGTATAGTGAGCTTTTCTACCTTCAGTTTGTAGAATTTTCATCAATTTTTGGTTAATATATGTTTAAATACTTATGAACTTCAATAACTATCGAATTATAGATAAATATTATAGCTCTGTTATCAGTTGAATTATATCAGCTCCAATATTCGACGCGTTAAATGATCATTTCACTTCTAATTGAGAATATTTAATGTTTCATTGAAACAATAAGTCGATTAGTGTTAGACCATCACTAGAAACCTGAAAGCTCTGAACAGCCGTTTCGGCCTAGTGGGGGACACATAAACAGTATGAATTCACGACTCCCGCTACTCGCGGTTATCCAACC